TAGTAGCTATGCGCATAATGCGCATATATGTGTGCGCATATATGCGCGCATAATGCGCATAGGCACATCTCTAGTCAACCAAAATATTCATACCTTAATTGTGCGTTCGGAAACTTTAGCCAAAAACAACATTATTTCTGATTGTAGATGAATGATAACTGATTCTTGACCTAGTACAAACAGTATCAAGGGTTTAAAATTCCTATAATTGGAATCTTATAGTATCATAGTATCATGGGTTTAAATTCCTATAATTGGAATGTATCATAGTATCATGGGTTTAAAATTCCTATAATTGGAATTTTATAGTATCGTAGTATCATGGGTTTAAATGGAATCTTGGCGTAGATAGTATCATAGTATCATGGGTTTAAAATTTCTATAATTGGAATCTTGGCGTAGATAGTATCATGGGTTTAAAATTCCTATAATTGAAATCTTGGCGTAGATAGTATCATGGGTTTAAAATTCCTATAATTGGAATCTTGACGTATCATTATATTAAAATTCCTATAATTGGAATCTTGGTGTAGATCGATAGTATCATGGGTTTAAAATTCTATATAACTGAGTGATAATGCATCCAAGGATTGAACTAGCCGAATGCGTCAAAAATAATACCAGGTCAAGTGTTATTTCTAAATTTCGCAATTTTTCTTGTTGATTTTTAAACCAAATCGAGCCAACTGAACCGATACAACCCTGTTAAGCAAACGAAAAAAGTATGTTTTTTATTTATTACATATTTTTATAACAGACATGTTTACCGTAGGAGCTTCTATTCTAATGAATGCATAATTTGCAGTTCGAGAAGAGTTATGGTAGTTATAACAAGAGATGGTGTTACTTTGGAATTGCATGAAAGCATTAACTTTGTAGATGCAATTAGAAACAAAACGAATGAATTAGCTAGTGGCTGTATATGTTCATCTAACATAATCGACCAGGAAGAATACTTGAAGAATCTCGTAAACCATTTCAAAGCAGCCTTCCCATTATGTAGCGTGCTTGCTACAAACAAAAATCATACAATTAATGGTAAGCACAAACACTTCCGCTATGAACAACCAGTGAGTATATTTGGACATACACGCAGAACAGACGTATATGTTATAGGAAGAGGTTACAACACTGTGTTTACTATGCTGGGCGAAGGTGGCTTCTGCCACTGGAGATTTCGAGGTTGGTTTGAGAGAAGAGACAAGACGGTTATTTTCAAATAGATTAAATTTATCTCAAAATAATGTTGATCGCACAATTGTAAAATAAATTTTTTTCACATCGAATTGTAAATTAATAATATGTTTACTGCGCCCGGTCACGCGTGTCCAATTTTAATAAAATTTACCCAAGGTTTTAAGCCTTGTTTTATTATGCTTCCATAGTAAAAATAAATTCGTTATATTGGCATTTATCATATCGTGTTTGATAAAATCACATGATTTTTATCCACAAAAAATATAACCAATATTCAGGTAAAATTTATTACTTTTTCAGACGAAATTGTGCATAGCAGGACAAAGTCTAACTTCCTCATTTATAGATTCCATATAAGCGGGAGGCTGACTACCTCCAACATCGGACATACTAAATCACTGTCATTTCGTGATGCAGATATATTAAGGGCTGAGGTAATATTTGCCAACTCAGATGAAGATGAGTATATCGCATTATCTAAATTTCCACCCAAATTCCCACCCGCATCATTTATGTTATTGCTTGAATTTCCACCCACATTATTTGTGTTATTGCCTAAATTTCCACCCAAATTATTTACATTATTTCGATTAGTATTCTCATCCCTTCTGCTAGGAACTCTTCGGGTGGGTGATGCGGATCGACCTCTTTGATCAGCAGTGGGTTCACGGCGATTCATTTGGGATTGATGGTACTTCATAAGTTGGTGGTGGAGTACGGTTACGGTGGCGTCTTCTCGTGGATGCGTTTGCATTATGCATTAAGTCAAATGGTGTTTCTATATTTTCACGTGCAAGGTAATTCCACGAGTTATATATTTGCTACTACAGTAGAGTGTATCATATTTGGTTAACTTACCTGGTCTTGCCCAAAAACGAGAACGAAATTCTTCAAAATATCGCTCACCAGTTCTACTTCTCTTTCCGGTTCTACTTCCAGCTATATACTGTTCCATTAACTGGTAAAATTTCATTATATATGTTATCAGAAAATGGTATACGGACATGAAATAAATACTTACGGTATAATCTCTTAGATATCCTGTATAGGTGGTTTCAAATCGTTCGTTGATTATATTTGCGATAGTATTCAAAAAATCTACTACCCGGAATATTATGATACTCGGCATTTTTGTTTTTTCTCTCGTCTATTAGTAAGCGCAATTGATCGTCAGCTCACATCACAAAAAAAATTATTTAGTGTGGTAATGCTATTCAACTAGGATACGCTTACGATGTGTTATTTTTCATAGAATTATATAAGAAAAAAATTGTCGTATCTACATCGTATCTTCATCGCACCTATATTGCATCTCAATTATGAGTATAGCGGAGCTAGTGTCAAGACACATAATTAACTGGTAGAAAATTGCACATCTCTGATTTGAACATCTCGGATTTGATTATCTCGGACCGGGCGATCTCAAATGGTGGTGTCATACATCAGAAAATTAAATCGTATGCTTGTAATACACCCGAAATAGATCTCACATGCCCACATGCCAAAATAGATCATGATATATAATGCACAAGGTACTTATATGCTTGAACTCTAGATACCCATATCGATATGTTTATCCCTTAAATTATGAACAATGATACAAACGATATTTATATCTACACTAAAAATGAATTCAGATTTAATTATGTATATCTAATAAGTCTAATAGATCAAATCATCTTAAACATAGCATTATCTAAATCTCATATAATCGATAAATATGTCTGGTTTCGATATCTATTATTGATAAAAAAAGATAGAACCTATTAATAATCGCCCTGGTTTTGATCTCAAGTATGCCGTCTCATATATTGGGAATTATATAGGTATTGATGGAAAACGATATGACGAACTCTTCGGTAATGAGAGATTATTTGACACCTTATCTACCATAAAACAGAACGAAACAGCTGTTCAATGGGCAATACGAGTCAGAGTACCTTTACAGGATTTATTGAATGCTGGAAAATTTAGTGTGTACCATCGATTTGCTTTATTTGCATCATTTGGTCAAGGTAAATTTGTTAATTTCAATTATCGTAGACCAAGAATTCATAAGAGCCATATGGCTATTTGTTTTAGTTGCTGGAAACTCATAAAAAATCAATGATGTGAATCCTAAAAAATCATTCCATTTTACTAGACAAAGGTATGTTGATCATCTCAAACCTAAAGACCTGATGCAAGATCATTGGAACCATGAATATAATAAACCTAAAATGGATTTTGGGCATGCTAGAATCATACAAATAGCTTATTGAAATTATAAGAATAAACCAGAATTATTAGCAACCCAAGCTTGGAATGTAATGAGAGATGATGGCACTTCTAATGATAAGAAATTTCTAGGTCTAACTTATTGCAAAGTGAAAAATCCTCAGACTCAAGAGCAATTTAATCTGTGAAAAGCTGAATAAGTTGCAATAAATAGAAGATGTAATAACCCATAAATGCTGAATTTCTTTCTTAGAGAAGAATATAAAGAATATTATATTCAATATGATTGGCTAGATAGAAAGAAAAATCAATTATGAGATAGATTTAGTAAGCGTCTTCCATAATTAGAAGTATAAATATATATTAATATATGTATAATTTATTTGATGTGATTTATTTCTTGCTATTTTGTGATAATTAGGCACTATGTATCTGCGAAGCAATATCTAATTTTTATTTTGATTTTTACATGAGCCCATTTTATTCAATACCAAAAATCTTTTATATAGATAATAGATTATGCTTGTTATTTTTATTGCAAAGTAATGGGCTAGATCCTATATCTACTCTAACTTCAAAACATGACAGGATTTGGTTAGCTTAAAAATATAAGTGACAGATAAGATGTATTTTATTTCTGTATTAATAAATAACAAAAAAAATAAATAGTTATTTGATTGTTAAATCTTGATTTATTCATCAAATTTCAATGAAATATACTAATCAAGTCTAACTGTGAGATTATCATCTATCAGTTTAGTAAAATCAAAGATTATGAAATTTTGATCTCACAAATATTAATGCTTTTTTGGAATCATCTATATATTAATATACAATTCTACATATATCATCTCTAGATCTACTTCCTCAGAGCATAACTAGATATGAAATATTTTCATGAATAATTTTAAATACAGCTTAATATTTCTGGATTACATATACTGGACTTATATTTAAATATCAATCACTAATAAAATAAGAAATATAGAAATAACACTTGACCTGGTATTATTTTTGACGCATTCGGCTAGTTCAATCCTTGGATGCATTATCACTCAGTTA